AAAAAACTTCATGCAACTATGGCAGCATTTGTTTCTTGTGCTTTATTAGAGTTGCTTGTGGGACAATCATTCAAATATTTGAACAGTTAAGTGTGGTTAACTAATTACCTCAGGTGTTCCATTATTCTCCCTCTAAGTTGGGTCAAAGCATTTTGGATCGTTTTTGTGTCAAACGGTGCTCATGCCATTGGTTTAAGAGAGAAGCAATGGGTTGCTTGCGAGGTAAAGCTCGAGACTTACAGATGCTCTTAGTTTGCATGAAGATTATTTTTAAGGAGAAATTTTTCCATAATCTCTCTTCTTTCTTACAGCTTGGATTGCCATACTTCCCCTTGGACTATCCTGATTGCAATGCGTACTCAGATTATATGGCAAAGGAGGCAATCGAAATTAACCAAAAAGCAATACTTCGTCCTCTTTCCAAAAGACCATTTGAAATTCCAATACCACCCCCCTGGAATTGTTTGCACCTCACATTAGAAAATAGATTGAAAAGTGAACCACAGGATAAAACCTCTGCATTTGAGGGTATTGTAGCACGGACATCTGTTGTACTGAGCGAAAACCTGAAAACCAATAGTGACAAAAAATTGTTTTGCTTCCCGAGGAAGCCCTATGAGGAGAACTGCTTGTACAAGGTCATTAGGGACATAGATTTTCTCAAACAAGACACTGTTTTATCAGAAAATAAGTGTGGGAAAACACCGTGTTATGTTCGGGTTGTTTTGCGTGCTTACAAGGAAGGTGTTTTTGAACAAGGAGCATTGGTATGTGCACCCCTTCTGGCAGACATCAGGATGTGGAAAGCCGGGTACTCTTCAAAATAGCGTCTTTGCTAGTTATACGTTTATAGATCTTTTTACATTATTTTCCATCATATTTTTACTGGTGCAGCTCAGAAAGTGATTACCAGAGTCTTCAAATACCCCAGTCTTCTTTGCGGTCATACTTTATGCACTTGCCATCCGGTGAATGGGAACTTCAGATACCTGAGGACCAATCTCTCCATAGGTGGCCCATTGGATTTGTTACAACTGGTTTTGTTCGGGGAAGGCAAGTGCTGTTGAACACAACTTTGTTCAAAACCATATGTTTTTCCCTTCCGCACCCAAATTCTTCTTCTATGTTTTGCATTATATTTTTCCTATTCAAAAAGTTGTGTCGGATATTCCGTCAGATGGAGCTCAAAATTTAGCCTTTTCATCTTTTGGCTTTTTTTCTTTATGAGTTCTTTACTTTTTCTTAGATATTTTAGTTTTTTTCTTGAGTTGTCAATTTTTCTTATTATAAAATTGTAAGATTTGGTACTTGGAACTGCAGCAAAAAGTCAACAGCAGTGGCTCTTTGTGAGGCAAGCATGCTCTCTATGCTTCGTGAGGAACAATGGAAGGCAGTGCCAGTGAGGCAGAGGAAAGAAGAGATATATGTTCTAGTGAGGAATATGAGATCCACTTCCTATAGACTTGCTCTCGGAACCATTATTTTAGAACAACAGGAAAAAGACGTGGAATTCATGTGATCTATTTTCCCTTGCATTGATTACTCGAGCCTTAATCAGGTTTCTTCAGGTACTGATCATATGATTACCATTTTTCGTATCTCTTTTGCATTTCCATTATATGGGCTGGTTCATATGACAATCTTCTATTGTGTTTCCAATTTTGCCCCTCAGTTGCCAACATATTTGTCGAGCTTTGGGTCTTTTAGCGGTCTTTGGTTCACTACAAGAACTTTTTCTGATATCCATNATTTTTTTTTTTTTTTTTTTTACATTGTACTGTGTTGTTCCTTACTCACTCTTCAACAAGAGAGCTAGTTCTCAGAAAGAGCCCAAGATACAGGTTATCTGATTAATGATTGGAGCAATTAGACTGGGAAATAAATTAACCATAGAACACTACACTATGTGACTTGAATTGAATTTGGTAGCGTTTTTTCCCTGTGATATTAAAGTTTCAGTTTTACTAGCTAGCACCATTTAAGAGTATGATACAATGTCTTGACCAATGCATCAATGGTTTATTTATAGTCTAACAAGTTATATTGTTAATGTTTTATTTTTTGAAGTATGATATTTTCAAATAAAAATATATATTTATTTTTAAAAAAGAAAGCAGTAGGTTTAATAGAAAGAATTCTTGTTTTCCAATGTGCATATAGAATAGCATTTGAAATTAGCATTTAGTAGATAAGTAGCTGCATTACACGCTTTAGTGCTCTGCCAAACTCTTTATATCCCCCTTTAACAGATAATGAACAATTTATTCAATCTGCCATCAACTGTCGGAAAACGCTCTAATTTGTAGTGTTCTCATTTTTAGCTTATTCACTCGTCACCCACTCAGCCAAAGTAAAAGACATAACCAAACATAAATTGTAGCCGTTTTATCCGATCAGAACCGCTGAAGGCTACAATGCTGCAAATACCTAATATAACCAAACAAAACCTACATCTTTTTGTTCTTATTAAGCTCGGAGTTCTAAATTAATAACACATTATCAATACAATATGAACTTGCGTGTTGACTTGCTTTTGAATTGATTGGCCAGATGTATTAATTGATTCGGTTCTGAATAGATAAAACAAAAAAGTTACTTTTTGCAAGTCTTTAAAATATTTAATAAAGTTGATACATTACTTCCAAACGTAGTTCGGCTAGTTCCATTATATCGGTTAGGAAGCCCGCATAAAGATTTGACTTAGACGAGTTGGAAAGAAAAGAGAAATTTACCTAGGGTACGATATAATATGCTTTTAATTGTATATCTACGAGATATTATTTTTAATTGTAACCATACGGTATTTATCCATCCCAACACAAATTAATGCCAACATTAACGTTTCATCTTTCTATGTTTCTTTTTTCCTACAGATCTATGTCATTTTCTCTCTCTCTCTCTCTCATAGATCTTTCTCCCCCTGCAACCGGAAGCTCAAGGAACTCGCCGCCCTCCGCTTGTCCTCGCCTCCGCCGGAATTTTTTGCGCGTTCTGCAAATCTCTAACACCGCTCTTCATCTTCCAGCGTCGTACGTCTACAACAAAGACTCGTTCTCGAGGCGAAAAATTTCATTGGCTTTGTGCGGGGTGCCCAGTCCTCGAACTCCCATCGCTTGTGGATCTTGCACTGGCGGCGGGCACATCTCGCAGTGATGAGACCTCGAATTGATTGCTCGTCCAACGACGAATCGTTTAATTTTGATTTTTTTATGCGGGAGTTCAATTAGGGCTTGAGTAATGTGTATTAATTGGGAATTTTTCCGCGCAGATGAAGATGGATAAGAATTAAGAAATTTGAGGCTTGAGTAATGTGGATTAATTTCGACGCCTGGATCTGAAGTTATTTTCAGTATATGTTTTGTATATGTTTGGTATATATATATAAACCCAGAAAATTGGAGTTATTTTTCAGTATATGTTCTATATATGTTCGGTATACATATGTTCGGTACATGTTCGTCTGGATTTGGTGTTATATTTCAGTATATGTTATGTATATATTGGGTATATGTTCGGTTACGGAGGTCGAACCGGGTTACGGAGGCTGAAACGGGTTCGTCGAAGGTCTCGTCCATGGGGAGAGTCCCGTCGATGAGCGGCCGACGTCGCGCGAATCCACCGGGGATAGAGGGATAGATGGCGGAGAAAATTACTTTCTCTGTTACACAATCTAGCATCTATATAATTTTTTCTCTCTCTTCTCTCTCTTCTGTGGAAAATCTTTTCTCTCTCTTCTCTTATGTTACACAGTCTAGCATCAATATAATTTTTTTATGGTCAAGTAGGTATGTTTGCAAATAAATTTTGTAATTAGTATTTTTACAAATATTTATGAAACACTAAGGTAAGTATGTAAATAGCCCAAAAAAAAAAGTACTTTACATGCATGATCATGAAGATAATGACATAAAGTAGGGACGTTTTTGGATACAAAAATTTTCACTCAAAATGAATTTTTTTGGTAACTTAAAAAAATATAATATGATTAATTGTTAATGAAAATTAAATTTATATTAAAATAATGAACCAAGATTGGGTGGGCTAAACCACGAATAATTAGAGAAGAAAGAAAAAACACAGACAAGTCAAACTAAGCAAAAGAGAGGATTGCACATTTTTGCTTTGATAGTTTTTTTCTTTTCATAAACATTTCGCTATATGGACCATCTTTGCCGATCACCAAATCAAAAACAAAGCCAACAACTAGCAAAACATCTAAAAAAACACACCCCCAAATAATCACCCAAAAACAAATATTACCCACCCTCAAACAACATTTTGCAATCTGGTCCTTTCATTTTATCCTACTTTCGGCCCTCCTCCATCTCCACCGCGGCCCCACCGTCCTCGACGAACCTCGACCAGAACCAATGGCGCTTCCACACAACCGCCATCTCCTCTATCGGGATATTCTTCGTCTCCGGCAAGAAGAAGTAGATGAAGACGGTCATGACCGCCACAAAGAACCCGAAGAAGAGGAATAGCCCGAACTTGAGGTGGCATAGCAAGGTGAGGAAGACTTGGGCCACGACGAACGTGAAGAACATGTTTACGCACACGTTAAGGCTCTGGGCCGCCGATCGAATCTCCAGAGGAAAGATCTCGCTCGGAACCAACCAACCCAGTGGGCCCCACGACCACGCGAACCCCGCCACGTAGACGCATATGAAGAGGACCACCACCGACGCGTACCACTTGGGAAGCACCCCCGGTTCACCGCTCACGCCAAACTTCATGCCGATCAAGATCGAAACCACAATCTACGGAAAAGAAAAAGCATAGTTATCGATCTTGAACTATTCAAAAGTAAAAGCTCGTTCGAATCCCTTTCATAATACTTACTTTAATAAATGAAATTCAAAGCATCATCTCAAAACTCGGAATAAGTTGTTAGTTGGTGTCAATTTAAACCTAATAAAACGTTCAATTTGTTTTTAACTCAAAATTCGAAATAGGTTGTTGATTAGTGTCGACCGAAACTCAAAGCGTTCCATTCAGAACTCGAAATAAAAAGTTGTTGATTAGACTCAATTTAAACCTAAAACATTCAATTCGCTAACTCAAAATTCGAAATAAGTTGTTGACTAATGTCAATCTAAACTCAAAGCGTTCAATTCGTCAGCTCAAAACTCGAAACAAGTTGTTAATTAGCGTCGATTTAAACCCAAATCATCCAATTCGTCAACTCAAAAACACGAAACAAGTTGTTAATCAGTGTCAATATAAACCAAAACCGTTCAACACGAACTATTCAAAAAAAGCTCGACTCAGTAAAAGCTCGAAACACATACCTGACATATGAGCATTTGGATGCCACCCTCGAGGAACAAAAACCTCCTCCCCCACTTATCCACGCCGTAAATCGAGACAACCGTAGCCACGAAATTGACGCTCCCCGTGACCACGGCCGAGATAAGCGACGACTCGCTCCCGAACCCAATAGTCTTGAAGAGAACGGGCGCATAGAACATAATGACATTAATCCCCGTCAGCTGTTGAAAGAAGGGGATTGCCACGGCCATCGTCAGGTGGGGCCGGTACTTCCTCCGCAAGAGGTTCCTCCACGGGTGCTCGATTTTTCGAGATGCCTCGCTGGCGGCCACGAGGTCGTGGAACTCGTCGTCCACGTCACTGACGCCTCGGATCCTGCGGAGGCGGGCGCGGGCCTTCTCGCGGGCCCCGCGTTCGATCATGGAGTTTGGGGTGTCGGGGAGGACAAGGGAGCCGATGGTGATGATGAGGGCCGGGACCGTGGCTCCACCGAGGCTGAGCCGCCAGCCGAGGCTGCCGTCCAGCTTGGCGAAGCCGTAGTTGAGGACGTTGGCGGCTAGGATGCCGATTGTGATTGACAGCTGGAATCCGATGTTGAGGGCCCCACGGTATTTGTATGGAGCCATCTCCGAGAGGTACAGAGGCACTGACTGCATCATAATTTTTTTTTTTTTTTTGGGATTGTT